GATGTTCACCAACTCAGTGAGGTCATCAACCGATCGGTACGAACCATTTACAGGATTGTCAAGAGATTCGAGCAGGAAGGCACCCATGAGCGCCTCCCTACCACGAACTGTGGTAGGACGCCTCAGATTGACACCCGCATAGGCATGGTAAGTGAGCTGCCCCATCGAGGACCTTGACTTAAACGGTGGGCATGACAGCATATCAAGGCCCTGTATGATCTGAACCCTACCCTATACCAGGATGATTGCGCAGAGTTTATGAACCAGGAATTTGCAACTTCACTATCGAAGTACCATGTCTGTCGATACCTTAAAAAGATTGGATATACTTGAAAAACTCTCACCCTAAGGGCAGCTGAACGGAACGGCATTTTACGTGCGCAACACGCGATAGCAATGGCTGAATACAGTCAAGAACAACTGGTCTTTCTCGATGAGTCTGCTGTCGATGAGAGGACTGCTACCCGCAAATTTGGTTATGCGCCAGTCGGTACTAGGGCGATTGAGGAGAGACCGTTTGCTCGAACCAAACGTTGGAGTGTATTGCCTGCACTTACCTCGACAGGGCTCCATGCTTTATCGGTCTTTCAGGGATCCTTTAATGCTGATCGATTTGTCGAATTCGTCGAACATGAACTGCTACCAATTCTCAACCCCTACCCTGGTCCGAACAGCGTGGTTGTCCTTGACAACTGCCGCATCCATCATGACGAAAGGGTATATCAACTCATTGTTCAACGCGCTGGATGTCGACTCCATTTTTTGCCGCCTTACTCACCAGACCTCAATCCAATCGAGCTGTGCTTTAGTATGATGAAGAGCTGGATGAAGCGCAACAACAAGCATGAGTTAGCTCGATCAGACCCTGAGGGATTCATACGCTGCGCAATCAACTCGATCAATGAGCACCCTGACAAGATCCGCAACTTGTTCACGGGCTGCGGTTATGCATTGTCAGATGCAGAGTTACGTCGGTATGTCGAGGTCAACAACCAGGCTACTATTGATGCTAGGGCAACTATGTAGTCACTTTTTTCTAGCTTGTATGAGTAGGTTTTTCGATCGAAGCAATACATTCGTTTATTTTCAGTAACTTGCCATTCTCACGGGCAGATTCCCTCACAAAATGGTTGTACGTATGCCCAAATGCAATGCATGAAGACGTGGTCTTCAGTAACCACCGACTCTAGCTGCAGCAAATTGCATACTACTTGACACCAGGGGTGGCGAGTACGGTAGGGATTGAAGTAAGGTGTTGAGCTTTTGTAAGGTCATTGTGAAAGAACTAAGCATGCTATCGAGAAAAGAAGAATACCACATAAAAGAGCAGAACTAATAGATACTTTCTGACTCATCGGGAACCTCGTAAACCTCGAAGGGTCTTGCTTCCAGTCGTTTAGCGTTGGAATCCTTCTCCCGCATAATACCTTTCCATACTGGCCAGCAATTCTTCATGAGCATGACCCAGCCCTTCTTAGCAGGTGGTAGACCATCATCCGGTATCTTTTTGAGGTCGTCGAGGCGAATGCCGTGGTCAACCACTGCATCCCTGACTACGTCAATATTGAAGTTGGTGTAGGCAGGGGCATGTCGCCCAACATACTCCAAGAATCCATCCAAATCATCTCCTGCTGGTCCTGAAAGAGGGCTCGAGCCTCTCATGGGTTGCGCTTGGTCTGGTACCT